ATTTATACACAATTAAACAATAATGTATAAGTGTGTATAAATAGTGGTTATACAATATTTATACCAGAACACATCTTATGTTCAATATTACACCTCTATTTCCGTATCAAAATATCAAAAGAGAGTTTTTCAGAGGAAGTTAGATCTGAAAATTAAAGAGGAGAGAAGATGGAGATGGAATTGTTTTATAAAAGAAGATAAAACTAGAACATCATCTGAAGAACTTGAAAATTGTCTGAATACAACACAAGACCTCTTTTTCATTCTCCGATGACTTCACTGACTTCATCGTCGACCTATTTACCTTGAAAATTGAAGGGAAAAAATGGAGGATGTCTGCAACTCTTCAACCTCTTTCCAGCAATTTGAGAAGAAACAAAAAATTATTAATGGAGGATAAACGTATTTTGTCTTAAAAAAATTCACATTGCACAAAAAAAAAAGAGGACTCCAAATAGAAATAGCGATTTAGTCTCCTTGAGGAGATGTTTATTACAGTAATGGAAAAGGCCTTCGTGTTAGGTTGAATGAGAGAATGACTGCTGCAGTTAAAAGAGGAAGAAGCATTTGGATATAGGTTTTGGTGAAAAGTTGAAGAAAGAAAAAAGAAGGATAAATGAGGTTGTCGCTAGGTTAACCGATGAAAATGGGCTATACATTATCTGCAAAATGGGCTATGCCGGGTAAAGTTCCAAAACATGAGCTATTTTTGATTCTGAAATTGGGCCGACTGACATAGGATGTAATTCTGTCTTTAAAATTTCATAGGTGCCACTTCACCATATTGTGATGGAATTACATGACAGTGGCTATTTTTTAATTATAAGACGGAAAAGTGGTTAGTGGGCTATTTTTATGGCATTGGCCAGCCGACCGATGTTAATCGCATTTGCTAGCCAATATATATGTGTGTGTATTATATGTATAAAAATATACTTATTTATATATTTTGTCCACAATTATTTCTGGGAGCTGCTAAAAATATACATTTCTCTTATTTCTACGAGTTATCGTATCGATATATGGGCCAACGTAGCTGGGCCGGCCCTATCCCAAAATATGGGCCAGGTCCAGTTTATAGAGATGGGCTGATCTACTCTTCGTCGGGTTGCTGGACAAATTCAGCCCAATTACCAAAGTTTAGTACTGCGCACGCTAATGGCTACTCCTCCTCAAGAAGTAAAGAACAAATTCAAACAATGGTGAAATGATCCGTCATTTGACAGAGGGCGGAAGAATGATAAGGGGAGCAGCTCTATCGGAATGTATATTTTGCCAAATTGCTACCTCTTCCACTTCCACCCCTCTCCTCCACTCCGTAAGATCACATTTTCACACACACACACACACACACACAGAGTCGATGTAATTTAATTTTTTTTTAGCTTTAATCGATTTTTTCAGGATGATAAAGTTGATGAATTTCACACGCGTTTGTAGCTTTAATTTGATTTTTAGGGATGATAAAGCCGTTGCATTTCACTGAGTAATTTAATTTTTTTATAGCATTAATTGTTTTTTGCAGGATGATTAAGTTGTTGAATTTCTCGCACGTGCACACACACACAGAGTAATTTGATATTTGTAGCTTTTATTTGATTTTTAGGGATGATAAAGTCGGAAAAAAGAGGTAAAAAAGATTTCTCAAGTCTTGTGCAAGAATATAGGACACAAGGAGTTCTGGGGTCAAATTAAAAATAACAAAATTTGTGGGTAATTTTGAATATGTCTTGTGATGTTTGAAACATCTCCCGTGATGTTTGAAACACCTCAAGGACATCTCTAGGGATGTTTCAAACATTTCCCGGGATGTTTCAAACATCCCGAGACATTTGAAACATCTCCCGGGATAGTTGAAACATCTCTCGGTAGATGTTACAAACGTCCGGGATGTTTCACGGGAGATGTTCCAAACATACCGGAGATGTTTCAAACATCCATCGGGATGGAGGAGGAAGGGAACGTTTTTGTAAGTAAGAAAACTTTGGGGGTTTTAAAGTGTCCCTTCTCCCCCATTCTTAACACTTTTGCCTTAAAAATTTATATAAGTTTTGAAGTGTCTTAAAAATTTAATCAACACACGCAGTAATTTAACTTTTTGTAGTTTTAATTTGATTTTGCAGGATGATAAAGTTGTTGCATTTCGAGATATTAATCCATCTGCCTTCAGGTTCTTCAAATTTCATCAATTCTTTTTCCTTTGTCTTTCACCTGAATTTTAATTTCAATCAATTACTAAGCCTCAATCACAAACTAGTTGAGCTCCGCTTTTAAAAATCTTCTGAATCTTTATCATAATTTGATCACTTCTCTTGTTTATGCTGGTTTGGGCCAGAGTATGCTGTGTGAAGCTCACAAAATAGGAGTTCTGAATTCAATATGTAACTTATTGAAGAAAGTTATGATCATTTTCTGGTGCTTCTTAGTTAATTGATGAGAACAAACCTTTGTTGTGAATACTTTTTTGGTATGTTCAGGTTTAGTTGTTCACATTGTTTTTGAAAGCGCAAAGCTGAAAAAGCACAAGGTCCATGAGGCTAGAAGCAAAAAAAGACAGAAGCAAAGCAAGAAGTGAAATGCACAATGTACAAAAATTAAGAAATATCAAACATATATGAATTTATTACTATAATAATTAAATTGCAATTAAAAGAATTAATTTCGGCATCCAATGTACAATGATGCCGACATTTATCCAATCTCCTGAACATTGAGATTCAAAGAACTGACCACTTCTCATTTGGATCAGTGTTCACGTCATTGTTTGAAGCGCACATTTCTTTGAATCGCACGGCTTCACCCATGTAATGAAAATCGATGGGTGTTCATAGATGCTGCGAAATCCTGTTTGCTGAGTTCCTTTTTTAAATTGCATTTTTACCAATAACTTATCCAATTCATCATACTGAATGATATTGGCTGAGGGACACAGGAATACTCTGGGTTTGTAGTTAATTAGTACTCTACCAGATAATTTTGTAATTTGTAGTAGTTGTGTGTTGTGCGTAGATGCCCATGTTAATGGATTCCCTTTTTTTATTTATGTCAAAACATGGGATATATAAATGCTAGCTAGGGCAGCGTGTGACATTTAGAAGCATCATTTAGCTATACTAGAGTACAATTTAGCAGATTCAACTTCCAATTCTCAAGTTTGTATGACGAGTCTTTTGGAGTAAAAGATTTAATCTTTTCTTGACACTCGTATGAAATCAAACTAAGTCATTGAAATGGGAGGGAGGACTATGAATCTTGAATGTCAAACATAGTCATTAGAACTGGAGGGAGGGCTTTGAATCTCATAGAGTACTTATTTTTCAATGCTAGTACTGCTTGCCTTTTGTTTGGCATATTATTTTGGTCCATCTTATATATTTACCATGAGGTTAAACAAAATTTAGAGATACTTCTGTACAGTTGTATTCGTTCTCCATAAGTTTTGAAAACTTTCAATCGGTATAGTCAGTGCGTTGTTGGAATATGTCTTAGCTAACATATTACATTAATATGTGATGTCAGTCATCGATATGCACTTCTGTCACTAGCATAGAATGTAAACTTGCAAAACCCGTTGTAGTTTTCTCCTGTTAATAAGTTGTTTGAATGCAAAATCTTGATAGGCATTACTTGGTAATTCCAAAACAGCACATTCCAACTGTCAAAAACCTTCGGAGAAGCCCAGAAGATTTCTCCTTGGGTAAATTAAACTTTCTGAAGCATACTTACCACCTCATTTTCTTTTGAAATCCTTAAGCTACTTTATTTCTTTGGATTTGCACTTCTAATTTGCAGCTTCTATTCTTATAGTGAGTCACATGTTAGATGTCGGGAAGAGTCTGTTACATAGGGATGCACCTCAGTCCAAGCATTACAGGTATAGGACTTACATCTTCAGTTGCTCTACTGTTATTCTATAATTCGTAGTAGTAACATAATCAAGCCTATTACTCCTGAAACTTTCTTCAATGACTTTGCAGAATATATGCTGGGATCTAAACCAGTGCTTAATTCAATGATTTAAGGACTTTGTTTTGTGATTCTAGCTTTTTTTCTTTTTTATCTTGTTCCTTATTGTCTGGCACTAGTATTGAATTTTTGGGGCCAATCAACACAACCTTCTGTGGATGAAGAAATACATTTTTCAATCTTAAGCTGCTAGTTGTAAGTACTTGTGACTACATATAGAGAAGACAGCCGCAACAATCTAGTCGATTCTCTCTAACATACAAGTCATAACCAATATATATTTCTAAGTATCCTCACATGTTTTTTATATTTTAAGAACTTACTGTTACTTTATATTTTGGGATGCTTAACATAAAAAGGCTTGTACCTGGAGAAGGAATCTTTTTCACTCATATTTTTCCATTATCTCAGATTTGGTTTTCATCAGCCCCCATTCAACAGTGTTGATCACCTCCACCTCCACTGCTTTGCACTTCCTTATACTCCAAGGTACCCTTTTCTCGACATGCTTAAACTGCCTTGGATACTCAAGAATATTACCTTGTCCAAAATTTTGAATTTATTGGAAGTATTGCATATTCCTTTTTCTGATTTTATGACATTCAACAGCTGGAGGTTTATAAAATACTTATCATTGGGACCACTCGGTGGATTTATTGAAGCTGAAAAGCTATTGGAGAGAATAAAGCCACAAATTCCTCATCACTCATCTATGTAATCGTCTGTGAATTTGTGGTTTCTAATTAAAATTGGCAAATGTGTAAGTAATCTGCTAACTATTCTTTATCAATATATACATGTGTAAAGTTCAGTCAGTAACCTTGAGAATGATCTTGTTACAGAACCTGACTATTCAATTATATTTCTTGATTGAAAAATCAAAGTTGGGTTCAAGAACTTCTTTAAGTTCCACACTTTATTTCCTTTCATGCCTCAGGTATTTCATGCTTCGTACCCGAATTGCTTTAAGAATGATAATCTCCTCTGCAAGTGAAAATGGTTTGTCTGAGTAGTTACTTCTATCTTTTAAATGAGTGTACTAAAAGGGATTTCTGTTTCCGTGTTTGTTGCTTACTTGCTTTTGGTAGCAGGTTAGTCCTTGACCTTTTTATAATATTAACTACTGGTTTTCTTCTTTTTGCAAGAAACCGTGCGTGCAATTAGTCAGAATCTCTTACATTTCACAAGTAAAGGTGAGCTGTGTATATGGATTTGGGTTCATTAGCATTGGTCAAAATAAATTGCAAATACTGTGTCATTTCAAACCTGTGTTGCTTGCCCTTTAGTGCCGAGAGAAACCAAAAAACTGAAAAACCATGTTCACATCCTAGCTTTATCTATTTTTATTTGTGTTTTGCTTTGTACTCTAGGATCTAGAGCAACAATTAGATTTTATTATCAATGTCCAGTCCTCACGGTAGATGTGTCTTCCTGAGAGCAAGTGTAGATCTATTATAACCTAAATTATTCTACCATTACTTTTTATACCACTCCCCTCCCAGGCTTGATTGTGACAGTGAAGTTTATGAACCAGCTTTAGAGCAATAAGTCCTGCTCTGACCATTAGGTTCTAAATATCATGCGGTAGCTGTTCTCGCTAGGTTCATAGAATGTTTTATTCTAGCTCCATTTCATGTTCTAAGATTTTCTTTTGCTTCTCTGTGCATGAAGGGAAGTCTCATTGGTATAAGTGGTGCTTTTGTGATTTTTCAGATTTGAAACATGATTTTCCGAGTTAGCTTCAGAGATGCCTCTTTAACTTACCCAGAAGCAGTAGATAACTAGGATTATTCATGGGCATTTATTGCAGATTTTGCATCTCCTTTTTATGTGCAGTCCAGTACAATTCTCCCCAAATTATTGTCATATGTTATCCGTCCAACATGCAAATTTTTATGAACGTGATGGACTATCTCTATGGGTCATAAAACAGGAATTTAGGATGATTTCAAAATTTTCATGTTTTAAAGTCCACACCATCTTCATGAATTTGGGCGACGGGCTCCGAATCGCCTAAAGTTTTGTGGGTCCATCAGAAACGACCTAATTAACAATTGTCATTGCTTTGCCATGATGGTTTCTTGTTTCTTGACATTTTGGGTCACAAAACAAGAATTCAGGATGATTTTTAATTTTTCGTGTGATAATGCTCACGCAATCTTTGCATAGACCTTGAGCTCTTTTGATTATGCAGCCTGATCAAATTCTATCAATCTGTGGGTTGTTGTCCTATGTCTTATCATTGAGTGTCCGGCCTATAAGGCTCGGTATATGTAACTGCTCTGCCGTAGTAGGCTCGCTCGGAGGCGCTCAGCCATACTAGGCTCAAATGATCACCCTATGAAAGCACAAGAAACAGATCAATATTTAATGTACACAACGAGCCTACTCCCTATGTGACCTCGATTGCCTTATCATTGAGTGTGACTTATGTCGTTGTCCTACGTCTTCCGGTGCGACCTATGATTTTGGACTATGTCGTTGGGGGCGGTCAATGTCTATGGTCTGTAGCAAGGCATTTCAAGGTTACTGCTGTTCATCGGCCTATGGTGCCTAGTGGGCAAGTCAACATGTGGCGTGGGACATGGTAGCCTACACGACCATTCCGTGCTTCATTAATGGCATACTACAGACCACGTTGCACTCAAATATCCGTTTTACCTTGCTCTTGTTGTATTTTGTGTATTTCTTGGAGATCTAGTGGGATAAAGAGACGCAAGATGGTTTTACCATGTCAATATTTAGAAAAGTGTATGTTGTCCTATTCAATTTGTTCCCTAAATTTGTGCACAATTTTAATTGTTCTTTAGTAAAAATTAGATGACCTAAAAGGTTTTGATGATGAAAATCTCATGGTAGTGCAGTTTTAATTTCAATTTCAATATTTAAACTTAACGAGGTAGATACCTTAGTGAACAATATTAAAGAATGTTTCTACTTATTGGTAAAAATGTCAACTTGTGTTTGTTGATTAGCTTGTTCCACTTAACTACTTTAATTTACTCCCTCAACCACCAGGGATCGAACCTCGACAGAAGCATTGCGTAGAGATTATATGAGTAAAATAGAGATAACCCAAAGGTCTTGGGTGCGCGCATGGTGCACTAGTGCATGGTACACGATGCATGGGTGCCTATTCCTCCCGGTCTTGGCTGGGCAAATGTAAACCTATAAGCATGGCATTGTTTTCGGTATCATATGTTCTTTTGATGTTTGTATAACATGATTTATGTATATGGTCAACTTGAGGAAAGGTGTGTTGTTACGTGTTACACGGTTGCTTATGTCGTTAGCATATGTCACTGGTTGTGGTTTATGTCGCTGGCCTATATCGTTGAGCGCGACCTGTCGTTGTCCTATGTTTTCAGGCGTGACCTATGATACTGGACTATGTCACCGGAGGTGGTTTATGTCTATGGCTTTTAGCTACACACTTCTAGGTTACTTCTGTTAGTTGGCCTATGGTGCCCAGTGGGAAGGTCAGTGTGTTGGCGGGACATGGCATCCTGCACGACCATTGCTTGCTACATTACTAGTGTTCTCAAAACCACGCTGCGCTGTCATATCTGTTTGACATGATTTTTTTTAGTATTTTGTGGATAGCTCGGATATCTAACTGAATAAAGAGACGCAATATGGTTTTATTTTTTCAATATTTTGAAAAGTGCATGTTATAGGATTGAATAGGATAACATGCACTTTTCAAATATAGATCTTCTGATTTTTTCAATATTTTGAAAACTGCATTTTCATTTTTCTTAAAAATCAGAAGATCTATAGGATTGCATCGTGGTAATGCAGTTTTTAATTCATTTTCCATATTTGAAATTCAATTTAAGAGAAAGAGGTAGATACTTTAGTGAACATTACTAAAGATAAAAAGTTTCTACTTATTGGTAAAAATGTCAACTTGTGTTTGTTGTCTAGCTTGCTCTATTTAACTACTCTTATACACTGCCTCAACCACCATGGATGAAACCTCGACGGAAGCATTGAGTAAAGGTTATAGGAATAGAATATAGATATGCGAAAGGTCTTGGTTAGGCGCATGGTGCACTAGTGCATGGTACACAATGCATGAGTACATATTTGGTAGGTGTATCGACAAATGGTTTAATGCTTTAGAAACTAGACTCATATATCTTTATTTGGTAGGTGTATCGACAAAACTAGAGGCCGATTGTTTCTCAATAGTGTTAAGGAAAACTTGAGTGCCAAGAGAGGGTCACTGCAAAATGGGTGTCAAGACCCCAGTTCGCCCTCCGTGAACTATCGTGACGGCACCTAGTCTCTACGACTAGGTAAGCCTAATAAATTGCAGAAAAAAGAAACAACTAATAAAACTAGCCAAAAACTGTGAAATAACATAATGAAACATTTAAGATGTCGCTCGGCATATACAATGCAAACTTTTCAAATTGAAACTAGATTTTCCAAAATCTGGAATCTCAAGAAATCACAAGTTGTGGAATAACTACAGTATTCTAACTGCAGAGTGTCTAAACAAAAGAAAAGTACAGAAGGGCTATAACTAAAAGAGAGTAGATAGGGACTCCTCGGTTTGCGAATGCGGCAGATATACCTCAAAGTCTCTAGAGATAGCCTCGTCTCGCTAACGATATGGCTGAGTCGATGTACCTGGATCTGCACATGGGAAAACATGTGCAGGAAAGGGCATCAGTACACCACAGCGGTGCCCAGTAAGTGCCAAGCCTAACCTCGGTCGGGTAGTGACGAGGAAGGTTAGGACCCTATCGGTTATAAAATATAAAGCAAAGTAAGACAATGTCAGGTGCAACAATATAATCAAAACAATATTAGAAAATGAGAAGAAATCAGAGACAAATATACACTCAGTACACAGAAACATCGCCAGGGGATCTCCCGGGATCCCGTTCCGTAGTCCCAAACGTAAATACTCGGGGACCTCTCAGTATCGTCAATATGTGTGCTAGGGATCTCTTGGTATTCCGAGGATCTCTTGGTATCCTCAATATATGTACTGGGTATCTCTTGGTGTCCTTAATATATGTGCTGGGGATCTCTTGGTATCCCGCACTACAGTCAAAATCAATATATGTGCAGAGGATCTCCCGGAATACTCATTCGTAGTCCCAAAATAAAAAACACAACAATAACAAGGAAAGAATCCACAATTTCATTCAAGTCCGTACCAAGAAACAGAGATTTCTATTCTAACATGCTGCGCAGAGTTCACATAAACAGTTTAAGCAGATAGGATAATTAATACAATTAAGCATGCTTCCCTAAACTACGCAGTAGGCTTAAAATACAAGTAATGTTCAAGAAGAAAGGAAACACAATTAATTTACTTAATGAAAAACGGGTTTCCAACAATTAGCACGTGTACGCACTCGTCACCTCACGTACACGGCATTCATATAACAACAATACGAAATCCTAGGGAAAAATGTCCCCCACACAAGGTTAGACAAGCCACTTACCTCGAACCAGCACAATCAAGTCTATACCACATTTTTGCCATGAGTATCCGACTCCAAATGCCCCAAATCTATTCAAAGTAATTGCATAATGTAAATAACACTTCAAGCAACTAATTCAACTAAATTCTAAGCTAATACGCGAAATTAGGAAAAATGACCAAAACGCCCAACGAGCCCACTTCTCGGAATCGGGTAAAATTTACAAATTCAGAATCCTCATATTCTCACGAGTTCATTTATACCAAAAATTATTCCAATCCGACATCAAAATCTAGGTCAAACCCCCAAAATTAGGCCTAAGAACTTTTCTCCACTATTCCTCAATTTTTCATCCCAAATCCGAAATTAAATGAAAAAACTAAGATTAGATTATAAGATTACAACTAGAAAGGGATTAGGAATCATTACCCACTGATTTCCTCTTCAAAATCCTCCCAAAATTGCCCTCAACCGAGCTCCAAATCGTTTTTCCAAATTTTAATTTCAAACCCTCGAAATTTCCTATTTCTGCCCAGCTATTCCCGCATCTGCGACCCACTGACCGCACCTGCGGAAAAGGCATCGCAGGTGCGTAAATCACTTAACTGGCTGGATCCGCATCTGCGGTCCTTTGGCCGCATCTGCTGTCCCGCATTCGCGGTCACCCAGCCGCACCTGCGGTTTCCTGGGGCCTAGCCAATTCCGCTTCTACGGTCCATAAACTGCTTCTGCGGCGCCTCACCTGCGGTCCTATTCACGCAGGTGCGGTTATGACAGGAAACTCAACAGCTTCAGCTGCAATTCCCAACTCCAAACTTCCCGTTAACCATCCGAAATCACCCCGAGGCCCCCGGGACCTCAACCAAAAGCACAAACTAGTCATATACCACTATCCAAACTTATACCAATCTTCAAAACACCTCAAACAATATCGAAACACCAAATAATCATCGAATTCAAGCCTAAGAATTCCAAAAACTTCCAAATTCCGCTTTCGATCAAAAAGTCTATCAAACCTCGTTCGAATGACCTAAAATTTTGCACACACATCACATATGACCCAACAAACCTACTGCAACTTCCGGTATTCCATCCCGACCCAATACCAAAATCTCACCTATCAACTGGAAACTTTAAAAATTCAACTTTTCGGCATTTCAAGCCTAATTAAGCTACGGACCTCCAAAACACAATCCGGACACGCCCCTAAGCCCGAAATCACCCAACGGAGCTAACGAAACCAACGAAATTCCATTCCGAGGCCGTTTTCACACTGCTCCGACTACGGTCCAAATTCTAAAGCTTAAACTCTCATTTAGGGACTAAGTGTCCCAAAACACTCTGAAACTCAAAACGAAACCTCCCGGCAACTCAGAATAGCAGAAATAAATACGAGAAAAATAGTTAATAGGGGATCGGGGCGTTAATTCTTAAAATGACCGGCGGGGTCGTTACATCCTCCCACACTTAAACATTCGTTCGTCCTCGAACGAGCATAGAGATATACTGAAGTAGTGAAAAGATGAGGGTAACGACTGTGCATATCCTGCTCGGTCTCCCAGTCCGCCTCCTCGACCGGCTGACCCCGCCACTGAACCTTCACTGATGCAATGTTCTTTGACCTCAGCTTTCGAACCTGCCTGTCCAATATCGCCACTGGCTCCTCAACATAAGATAGATCCTTGTCCAGCTGGATTGGACTGAAATCCAACACGTGCGACGGATTATCGTGATACCTCCGGAGCATCGAAACATGAAATACCGGATGAACTCCCGCCAAGCTGGGAGGTAAGGCAAGCTCATAAGCAACCTCCCCAACACGCCTCAATATCTCAAATGGACCAATAAACCTCAGACTCAACTTCCCTTTCTTCCCAAATCTCATAACGCCCTTCATAGGCGAAACCCGAAGCAGGACCCACTCTCCAACCATGTAGGAAACATCACGAACCTTCCAGTCCGCATAACTCTTCATTTTGGATTGGGCTGTGCGAAGTCTATCCTGAATCACCTTAACCTTCTCCAAAGCATCCTGAACCAAGTCTGTGCCCAATAATCTAGCTTCACCCGGCTCGAATCAACACACCGGAGATCTACACTGCCTACCATATAAAGCCTCATACGGTGCCATCTGAATGCTGGACTGATAACTGTTGTTGTAGGCAAACTCCGCCAATGGCAAGAACTGATCCCAAGATCCTCCAAACTCAATCACAAACGCACTGAGCATGTCCTCAAGAATCTAAATAGTGTGCTTGGACTGTCCGTCCGTCTGAGGGTGAAATGCTGTGCTCAACTCCACCCGAGTACCCAACTCATGTTGTACGACCCTCCAGAACCGTGATGTGAACTGAGTACCTCTATCTGAAATGATAGAAACTGGAATACCATG